GACTGACCTGATCCAGACCCATGTTGGCCACTGGAAGAGGACTGACCTGATCCAGACCCATGTTGGCCACAGCAAGAGGGCTGAACTGATCCAGACCCATGTTGGCAACATTTAGAACCAGACCTTTTTTGATTAGAATTCAAAGAGTGTCCACAGGAACCAGACCCATGTTGACCAGAACTAGAAGTCTGACTTGTTCCAGACCCATATTGTCCACAGCAAGAACCTGTTCCTTGTTGTCCTCCACAGTTTTGAGGTTGACTACATGCTCTAGATCCACATTCTCTCTGACTAGAAGACTGACTACATGAGCTAGGCTTATGTTGACCATATCCACAGGACTGACTTCCTGAGATACAACCATGACCTTGTCCTCCATTATTTACTGATTGTGAGCCTGAGTTGGTACAGTTAGATTGATTTCCTTGTCCTCCAAATCTACCTGCCTGACAAGAACTAGAAACATTTTGTGTACTTCCACACCCGCCTGAATTCCTGGAGCCACATGAATGACTTTGTCTTTCACTGTCTCTTGAAATGCTAGAGCTTGTTTCAGACCTTTTTCCTCCACTCTTTCTTGACTGAGTAGTGTTTGATTCATGCCTGCTAACCTCCAAACCTCCATCATCATTACCTTTCTTTCCTCCACTCTTAGTTCCAGGTTCAGATTCACATTCCTCCTCAGAACCCCTTAAAAGGCTATGGGACTTGTTTTTTTTCCCCTCCAGTTCTCCATAGGTGTAATCATTTCTGTCTTTGCTACTGCTCCACGAGCGACCAGAGCTAGACCCACGGCGCCTTTTCTCAGCACCCTCTCGGTTACCCGAGCTTGATAAACCACCTTGTCTGCCCAGCCTCCTGGAGACAGAACCGCGCCTATGTTTCACAGCCCCCCTTGAGCCCTCAGAACCATAACCATGCTCCTCTCCTTCACTCCAACTTGAGTATCTGTAACCTGATTGTTGTCCTGATGTATCCTCTTCTTCCTCTTCTGTTTCACTTTCTTCTTCTCGGTGTCGGTGACCACGACTACGCCTCTTTGACCCTGAAGCTTTGCAGTACTCTTTGCTGAGAACCTTGTTGCAAGCCATAGCCAGCTTGAATACCATCAGAAGAAACTCAGTAAAGTCCAGTCTTCGGTCATGATCTCGATCCAACATATGCATAATGACATCCACTGTATCGGGATCATCTGGGTTCTGTGTACAAGTAATCCATCAAAGAAGAACTTATCAGCTTTGCTCATACAACTAAACTATTCAGATATGACTATGGAATTATGAGTGTTTGACTTTAGGTATTTTTATTCATATCAAGGATTACTTTAGGTGAAGGGAGCCTAATGCAACCCAGCAATTATGAAGAGGAAACAGAAAATAAAAAAAAATATATTGGACAATTCCTTTTGAATAGACACTCAGATGTGGCATTTAGGAAGGAAGGAAAACAACAATTTTAATATTTACTATATTTCAATTCTATACAAATATCAGACATTACATACATATATATTACATATTAGGATGTAGAGTTTTGAAATTAATAACTGAGTCCTGTCTTTATGTTTTCTTCCCTTTTTTGACAAAGCTATTTATTCATGTCTTAGAAAAAATTTATTTTTTACAGACAGTGAAGCCTGAGGGCATGAAAAAGTCTGAAGTCTCCATCCATGATAGGAGTGCAGAGGAAAAGTAAGGGAAAAAACATTTACTGTTCTAAAAATCAATACTGTCTCAAAGATTTTCCAGTCCCCAAGACACTGCTTATAGAGTTTGCTCAAATCCATTGGGACTGAGCACTTTTTTTTTAATGATTTATTTATTTATGCATACAGAGCTGGGGTATAGGCCAGAGGTGCAGGGGCAGTGAGAGGATTCACCAGAGACAGAGTGGGGAGCAGAACAGGTAGATCAATGAAGTACAATGCTGAGGGGGGCAGCAGGCAGGCCAGGAGAGGTCTGCCGCACCATGTGGATCACCTCCAGAGTAGGGATTGAACTCATGCTGAAGTGGCTTTAGTTTCTCAGTGCTTTAATCTATTGCGCCACCAGGGAGGCCCAGGACTGAGCACTTTTAAACTAATCTTGTGTAATGTAACATTAGAAGCACTGAACCTTAGCAGGCTTCAGCCTGGCACATGGTTCTTACCTTCAGAATTGGACGAAACTCTTTTTCCAGAAGTTCCTTTAGCTCATCCTTGCTCAGTGTGCCACATTCTCCATCTTGGTTGGTATATGAGTAGAAGACATCTATGACAGTGACAACACTTCTCAAGAGGTTGGTCATCTTTTTGCAAGTTTAAGAGAATCTGAAGAGATAAATAAAAAGATCTTGTTATTCATTTTCTTTATATTCAATCCTGATCGTAATACTAGTCATCAAGAGATTTTAAAATCTCTTGTCACTTTTAAATCTAAAACATTTCAACAAGTGAGGATGGGTCAGGGATGATACAGCATCTACACTGTGGAAATAAATTTTGTTAGCTTTAAGTTACTTTCCTAAAATTAAGCCAAGGTATGTTTCCAGTCTAACTGGGACTAGACCTCAGATCATCATGTCCTGGATGAATATATTCTATGCAGAATGTCTCCATGCTTTGTGTACTTTGGTATTCTGGAGCTTCCAAAGTTTCCAGAATTACCCAGGCATATTGCCCCAGTCTTTCTTGCTTGTTGTACTACTTTTCTTGAGTCACAAATAACACACCTTCTATCATGCATACCTACTGTGTACCAAAAGGTAAACTGTGCTTTTAAGACCTTCAGCAATAAGAAATGAACAGAGTGTGCCAGCAGTATTTCTACAGAAGCATGACACAGATATCATCAGAGTTCAGGAATTTGCTATTCCCTTTTCTAGCCAGAGAAGAAAATACTCAACAATACAGGTAATAGTTTGACTAGTGTATGATTAAAGTTTGGAGCTTTGGGAACTGGTGCTACACAAGGAAGGTGTACAACAGTGCTGACCTCCTCCCTATTTGTACTGGAAAAGAGAAAAAATGGTATGCATACAAAGACTAGGAGGAACGTGTGGATTGACCCAGAAGAAGGAAAACTTCTAATTGCTTAAGTCTTCTCTACAATGATAATTTTTTTTCCTAAAAAGGTCCCAAAATAAGCTAATCTAACCAAGCAAGTACATACACACACACATAAAAAAAAGAAAAAAGAAAGAAAGAAAAAATCAGTAGTCAAATATATATTAACTCTGCCTTAGCTCAGATTCCTGGATTCCTGGCCATGGACAACAACCAACTAAATATCCATAAATGTAGCTGGATGAATTTGTTCTCACCTGGTTCACCAAAGGAACAAGTAGGATAAAGCCTGATGCAGCTTGCAGGGTGACAATGGATTGAGATAGTGGCCCTTATATAGCTTATATGTGGGTGCTGCCCTCTGTGGGATGGACTGATTCATTTCCTCGTGTTTACCTTCCTACTTCTTCACATTCTATTTTTGAGTTGATTGCAGAAAGGCTGGTACCAGCCCTTCTTCCAATATGAGGACATATTGGAGGATACATTTTTCAGGGTCATAAACTTGATAAAAGCAGAGATTGTTTTAGAGGACTCGTGTTCTTTATTCCCTTTACCTAGTATCTACAAAAAATGGTAGCATAGTGTAAGATAAGACACTGGACAGATGTGCTATAAATTCTTATAAATTGAAAATGAGCTTGGCCTACCCCTACCATTTACTGAGAATTTACTTTGTGCTAGATATTGTGCTGAGTACTTCTCAGAGTACTCATTAATATTCAGAATATTTCTAGCATATGTTTATTGTTTATCCCATTTTACAGATGAAGGAACAGGCTTAAATTGCTTAAGAATCCTCTCTAAGGTCACACCGTTCATAGCTGGAGAAATATGGATTTGAATCCATATCTATCATAATGTTCTTTCTCTTAATCATTATACTAACATATAATTTGTGTGCATATACATGCATATACACATATGTATATATACTAACATATATATGCTATATACAAAGCAATGTACACATACATACTACTTCTGTGTATCTACTACATATACCTATTATGCAAAGATTATGCACTGTTTTCAGGAGTGTCATTCCCACCCAAACACATAAAACATGAAAAGTAATATAAGGAGTACTGCCAGCCAGGAAGAGAAGAAGCATATTCTTTGATCCTGTGAGGGTCCTATCTAGTCTAAAAAAAGTGTAGCAATAGGTTATTCATAACATTAGTGTTTTCAGAAGTGTCTAGGAGGAATTTAAAGTGGGATTCCTCCAGCTGCCTCTTAGCCTGCTATCAGATAGCTTTAAGCCTTGACCCTTGAGAAAATGTCATTTATATACATAAAGTATGTCAGATATAATGCCTGAATGAAGGAAGAATAATCAGAGGCACAGAGAGTTAGCTTTGCTATATACATTGTCACCAGGTGATGATGGGAGCAGCTATCATTCAGTGCTTATAGTCTTCTTGAATAATGCTTTTATATACTTATCTGTTCTTCACAATAGGATAGGGTCCCACAGTAGAATAAGGCTGTTGTCATTCTTAGTTTACAGATAAGGAATTGAAAACAGAGAGAAATATCCTAATTTCTTTAGGATCACAGCTAGAAAATGATAGCACTAGGGTAGAAGCCCTTGCTTCTGAGGCTAAGTCCAGCACTTAACCTCACATATTCCATATACTTGGGGTTGATAATTCCTGTTTGGGTGCTTCTTCAAGGAAGCCATCATATTTTATTCACCCCATCATCTAGACAGTACCTAGAACTTAGAAAACATTTAGAATGAAAGTGTTCACCAAATGTCAGTGGACGTACCACTGACATACATTCATTGCTCTTATAGACAGGGCTCTTAGAACAAAACAGCAGAATGTTATGTTGCCCTTTGGACGTCATGGTCATTGTTACATGTGTGCATTTTAAGTTTGTTTTGTTGTAATGGCTGTTGTTCAGACCCCTGGCAGCCTACTGAGATCCATTTTGAAAGATGATTTTGAAAACTGAACTTCCTCTGCAATTAGTGGATGCTTGTTTACAACTTTGAGACTGTTTCCATGACTTGCCAGGTCTCAGAATTTCACTGATCACTCTCTGTGTTCAGATTCTGCTGCTTCTCCTAACTTGCCTAGTATAATAGATACAAGCATAGATGTCGGAGTTAGGAAGACTTGAGTTCAAAGTTCTATTCTTTTACTGGCTGTGTTCCCTAGGGCCTTAGTTTCCCAATTTTGGTAATAGGAATAATAACATCCACCGCCCGGTAGAGGCTACTTAAAGTGTGAAATTGCTTAGTATCTACCTGGCATATAATAGGTGCTTAGTAAACTATATAATTATTGCCAGCACCTTTTAAAAACTATTTTATAACATCTAGCACGATTTCTACATAGGAATACTCAATCATGTTTGACAAAAATAAATTAGGAGCCAACAGTATGTCTTTAAAGGCAGAAAAACTACTCTCTGTCAAAAACATTACCCCCAGAAAGTAGGCTATAGTTCCTTAAAAGAAATAATTTTATTGAGATAATGATTCCCAAACCAAAAATCAAATCTTTTAAAATTAAACCACTCTGCAGTGGCTTATAGTCTATTGTCCATAGTTTATTGTTGAGTTGTACAATGAGTTCTAGTTGTTATAGTGTGAGACATTAACTTTTCTTCTCAGTGCTTAAGTTTTCCATCGCTAATAACCACAAAATATTATAGTGTCAGAGTACAAACAGATACATGCTAGATCATTTCCGCTGAGATTCAGGAGCATAGTTATGATGCTACCATATGGAAGCAATGATTTCTAAGAGTCAATTTGATGACACCTGCAGAGACTTTTGCCTGCTTGACTTATGCAAGGCTGTACAGTCCTATGAGGGGAAGGCCTGGAGACCAGAGCAAGGACACAATCTCAGCCATACCATTTCTCTGGGTCTGGGCTGCCTTTTTGCTCTGTTCTGCTCATCTCATCATCTGCTGCTTATTCCATATCCACTGTGCTCAACATTCTCAGGAACTAATAGACTATTTGGTTTTAAGTCCATTTGGTGATATTTATGACGATTAATCACATAAACTGAACAACTTATGATATTAATAGAGAGAGAAGCTATATCTTAAAATGTTTACAAAAATTTGTTACTATGAAAATCCCAATTTTTGATTTTTCTACTGAATGTCAGCTTAATTTTGTTTCCATGATTCATTCTCTTTAAGGGGTGCCTTCTTCAAAGTAGTTTGCTTTAACTTCCTGTCATATCTAAAGGGAATTCCTAAAGTATTTGCTTTTGGACCAAAGTATATCTATATCTGTATAAGAATCAAATATTTTCTCTATGGTGGGACATTTAAGTAATCCCTATTTTTGGGTCTTTCAATGAATTCAGAGATGATACCTGCAGTTGATCCAGGGACACACACACACACACACACACACACACACACACCCCCTTTGAATTCTCTATAGGCAGTTTAGGGAGTTCTTCTCATAGATTCTCATAGTAGGAAGAAGGATAGTTTTTGTATCATAGCTCCAACTTACACTACCTGTAACACCTTGGGCAAGTTTCCAAATCTGAGTCTCTCTTTCCACACCTGTGAAATTAGAATAATGTCAGACATGTGAGAAATAGATAAGATAATATTAGGATAATATTAGTACATGATAAGAATTTAACATATTTTCTTTCCTCCTAATTTCCAAGATTAATTTGATTAGTTGAGGTTATCAATAGATTTTGGGTGTGATGGTTCCTGGAGGTTCATTGTTTCTTCCTAGAGTCTCTATGTCTAGCTGAAATCAAAGGCCAAAAGGTTTAGGCTGTTAGAAATTTGTCTTAAATTTTTCTGTTTTTTTTTTCCATTGTGGAATGTTCATAGGAATAATGGAACCACTCACTAGACCAGCTGAGACTGTTCCTATCACAAGAGTCCATCTTATTTTGCCACCTCATTGTTGATATCTCAGTACCCAAGGAGTAGAGAAAGAGTCTCCAAAGAGTAGCCTGCTGACAGAACCAGTGCTCAAGCTGTGGCATGGGGCTTCCGTGATGGATGTACAGATCTGAGACTTATCATCTGGAACTTCCCTCAGGGTCACTTCTTAAGGCTGGGTTTCAGAAACTGAAAGGTCCTGGTATCCACAGCATCAGTGACCTATGTTGACAACCAAAGAGATTGTTCCCTGAAGGATTTGGAAATGTACCAACTGGATAAAGATGACTGAGGGGTAGAATCTAGGTTTGTCTTTTGACAATTTCCATATGATGTTAAGTAGGGTGAGTGATTGTTT